TTCATCCAGACGAAAAAGGGATGGAGAAAAAGAAACTGAATCCCAGAATAGTTTTCTCTAGTGCTTGTCGTCTACAAAGCTAACATTTTAATACGAGTTGAACTTGTGCTTCACTGAACTGCAATTGTTTTCCCCCTCACCTTCTGTTTCATTTTAGAGCATGAAACATCTATGTGTGCTGGGCTGCAGTGCACAAAGTAGGAAGGGGAAGAGCTATGGAAGATGCCAGAGGAAATGGGACCCAAAGACAAAGTCCTTGACTGGAGAAATAGCTCTGCCCTTTTACCCTTGAGTTCCAGGGCAGGGAGTGAGGCTGGAATTGGCCCAGACTCTGCCTGGTTACCGCATGTGAAGCGGACGTGCAGGGCACAGGAACCGCGTGTCCATGTTGCTCAGACACCTTGAAGCATGCTGGAAAATGCTGACGAACATGTTCCAACACAAATCTCTTTGTCTAGTTATATTCTTAACTGACATACAAAATATCAGATTAAATCGTATCATGTGGAGGCATGCATCTTAGTACAAAAATCAACTATAGGATGAAGAGAGGACAAAGAGAAGTAAGGCATGTTGCTTATCATAATTTTTTCAATTTTTATAAAATAATTTTTTAAAATACAAAAAAAAATTATCTTTACTTGGTGGCTAAACTATATCTACAATCCTATTAAAATGCATGATCAATTTTTTAAGAATCACAATATCCTAATCTGCTAAAGAAATTGGGGTCTCCCTGGTGGGGCAAGGGGCTAAGCACTGCGCTGTGAAGCAATCTGCAGCCTCTGCAGCACAGGTTCAATTCCCGGCTGGCCAGGGAGCTACCCACATGGTGAGGCAGACCTCTGCTGTCTTGCCCGCTGCTCCCCTCAGCAGTGTATTTCAGTCAGTCTGCCTGTTCTGCTCCCAACTCTGTCTCTGGTGAATCCTCTCAGTCCCCACATCTCTGGCCTGTACCCCAGCTCTCGTATGCATACATAAATAAATCTGTAAAAAAAAAAAAAAGAAATTATACCTAATAAAATAATACCCAAGCTCTAAGGGATTGCCCCCCCAAATGAAAAGATCTTGGACTGATATGTCTGGCTAAGGAAGAGACTGATATTTACAACCACTGCTTAATATAAACTTGGGGGGCCTATCTTTAGAATAAAAGATGATCACAATGTTTATGTCTAAGACAAAACACTGCATGGATTAAGACGTGTGACCCTTAAATACAACAAAACAGGTTCTTTAAAGGGTGCTTACATAAAAATAAATCAATGCATTAATTTCCTTCCAATATTCTCTCCTCCTTAAAGCAAAAATTCAAATAGGTTAGAAGAGACATTGATGTCAAAGTCCCAGCCTACCACCCAGTAGAAATCCATCCAGGAGGACGGGCTGGTATCTGAGTTGCATGGATTTTTAAACACTAAACACTTGGGAAGGGTAATGTTTTTTGCACTATTTATCTGTCTCCTGGTAATTCAGCCCTTGTCCACCTCCGCAAGCAAATAGGTTACTCGAGTTCACTGCCCCAGGGGAGGGTGAAACGAACACAAAGTGTCTGGTTTAGGATGAAGAGGACTCAAGCCCCAGACTAAAGGGAAACATTACTTGTTCTGCACATATTTAAAATCCACAGTCTCTTGCCAGACACAGAACTGGGGCTTGGTGATAGCACAATGGGCAAGACAGTGCTAGGGACCGACGTTCTAGAATAGAACCTTTGAAATAGATGCACTTCCCCAGACTGGACAGAGGGAAAAGTGTGAGGAATGATGAGACAGGGGCCCAAACCCTGTGTGTGAGTCAGAGCCCCTGCACCCCAGTAACCTGCTCAGGACCATTGTGCCCTGCTTCTTGGACCGTGGCCCCAGGAAGGAACAAGAGCCACATGGGTCATGGCTGCTGATGTGTTTAGGTAGATGGAGACAATTGACCTTATTTTTTCTATGTCACCGGCAGGTTGAAGCATCAGAGTGATTCTCATGCTTTGGAGCATGGAAGGAAGAATGGAGGAGAGCAGCTGGGTGCTGTGAGGACAAAGGCAAATTGAAAATAAGAAACCTAGGGCCTCCCTTGTAGCGCAAGGGGTTAAGATGCAACCTATGCAGATATCCGCAGCCACTGCTGCACGAGTTCGATCCCCAGGCAGGGAGAAACCCACATGGCGCAGCAGACCTCTCCTGCTTCACCCGCTGCTCCCCTCAGCAGTGTATTTCAGTCAGTCTGCCTGTTCTGCTCCCCACTCTGTCTCTGGTGAATCCTCTCACCCCCAACACCTCTGGCCTGCACCCCAGTTCTTGTATGCATAAATAGATAATCTTTTTAAAAAGAAAGAAAGAAAAAAGAAAGGGGAGATTTCTTTCTGTGTTTGCTGTCTTCCAGGGGCTTGACTGTGATGCGGGTCACCTTGTTTTTATTCAATAATAAAAATGCTTTCCTCTTGGGCCTCCCTGGTGGCACAGATGGTTGAGCGCCACACTGTGACGCTGTCTGCAGCCTCTGCAGTGCCGGGTTCGATCCCGGCCAGCCAGAGAGAACCCCACATGGCGCAGCAGACCTCTCCTGTCTCACCCACTGCTCCCCTCAGCAGTGTACTTCCGTCAATTTGCCTGTTCTGTTCTCCGCTCTGTCTCTGGTGACTCCTCTCACCCTCCAGCGCATCTGGCCTGTACCCCAGTTCTTGTATAAAAATAAATAAATCTTTTAAAAAAAAAAAGTGCTTTCCTCTTGCCATTGGAGAGAATGTCCAATGGTTGGGAGTTTTTGGTTTTTTTAATTACTTCCCCAACAGTGAGAAAGAGACAACAGGACAGAACAGTGGCTGGTTTGGTGAGCATGGGTTTGGGCAGATGACACCAAGGATGCTACCCTTCTGCTAGTCACAACTACAGAAGTTCCCCAAGCTTCGATGCAAGCTTCTGGATAAAAAGCAGGAAGTTCCACTGGTGAGATTTCATTGCACATCTTCTGCAGGATGGAATCTCAAAGAATAATTTATTATAAAAAACAAAAGATACATGTATACATCTTAACTCCCCGAGTCACTGGCCTCAAACCAGTACCAACACAGATCCTAGGACTTGCCAGCATTTCCCTGTGGGAGTCTTACTTTCTTCAGACACTTGTACTAGTAACCCATTTCCTCTGGAATTAGAGTGAGTGTAAGGAAACGTAACATTTATAATAGTGGCTCTCAAACTTTGCTGGTATTAGACTCTGATGCCCTGAGAATATCCTGAGCTAATAAGACAAACTCTGGGAGGAGGGCCTGGCCCTCACTATTTCTTTAAAGTTCTGCAAGAGGTTTCACTGTACAGGCAAGTTTGAGGACGAGCAATGTAAAGTGGGCCCTCTCAAATTTTAGTGCACACACAAATCACCTGGAGAACTTGTTTAAATGAAGATTCTGGTGGAGTAGGTGTGGGGGAAGACCTAGGAACCTGTGTTTCTAACAAACTCTAGGTAGCACAGATTTAAAGACCCCCATGCACCAAGTGTTTTACTTCTGATTCCCAAGAAGTTAGGTAGTAGTGGTGCTCTGAAGGGGAGGGTTTGGAGTTAGAATACTGGGTCTGAATCTTGGCCCTGCGCTTCACTGTGCTCCAGTACCTTTATCTATCAAAGGAGGAAGGTGACAGTTCACCTCCAGCTGTGCGTAATAATAACAATGTGAGGCGTATCACTGATCTCATTTCACAGATGAAAACATTGTAATTCAAAGAGCATCAGTGCTTTATCACAGCTCATCTTGCTAATAATTGGCAGGCAAAGGCTCAACTCCAGATCATCATTTTAAAAGTCTGGAATTCATTTAATCCAAATATCCTTCCCTCCTCCCTGTGTCTGAGCATGGAACCACTGAAGTTCTCATCACAGAGCATGTAACCCAAGGTCATCTCTCCCTCGCCCCCTTCCCTTCATAATCACTTGCTGAAACTCACTGGTGGCCATCCTGCCGCACCTATTCTAGCCCCATATTCACAGTCCTTGAGTCTTTCCCCCAAAACTTCAAAAATATCTTGGTGTTTCTGTTTATGAATTCTGGTTCTCTGATCAGTGTCCCGCCTCTCAAGCCTTTGACACTTCTCTGCAGTTAATTTGACTACTTCAGCTTTACAAAATGACTGAAGACTGGATGGAAGGAGGAAAGCACTTCTTACAGGTCGAAGAGCTTCTACGTGAGATATTTACAAGTGGCCGTTGTCATTCCCACTAAGGCAGGCATAACCCCACAACCGTTCACCTCAGTGACCACACCTGCACCTGGGCCATCTGCTTGTGTTTCTTGTTAAAATGTGGGGAATGTCAGCTGTCAGCTCTCAGACTTGGTTAGCACTTGCCTCCGTGATACCTGCCTCTGTAATAAGCCTTCAGGAGCCACCCCAATACATCAACCCCACCTTGAGCCACACAGCCTGTGTGCATCTGAGAGAGACACCGTCAATCATTCCCGCGGCTAATGACAACCATCAACTTAGCCCGATGACAGCTTTTCCCACTAACTGTCCAAACATCCGGTATTTTCCAGCATAGTCTAAGGTCCTATAGGACTGCATTCCTTTACTCCAAAGGGTGGGTGGGGGGAGGGGGTAGGAATCTTTAGTGAAAAATTGCGGCTATTACATGTTGGGCCCAGATTTATTTCCACGCAGTATTTTGGGGAAACAAAATATATTATTCTTTATGTTCTGCCCCATTTTCTTTCCACAAGATAAAATATGAACTATTTTCCCCCCAAAGTGTTCAAATTTACAGAGAAGCAATTCGGGAATCTTGAGGATGTTTTCATTATCCAGTTTCTTTACCTAGAATGACACTATACCAACAACAGGAGTGAGGATTTGCCAACGATTTGCCCCACTGAGGAGCAACGATCAAATACATTCCCAGCTCCTGAAAAGGGCGCTCTGCCTCTTTAAGGCTCCCGGGCTCGGTGCTGGCGACGCGCACAGAGGAGCAGGCAGCAGGCCGGGCTCTGCCGCAGCGACTGTCCTATCGATAAGGTTCAGTTAGCCAAGGTGGAGGATGGGAAAAGAATGGAGCTGTCCCAGCTACTCAATGAGATCAGGGCAAACTATGAAAAGCTCCTCACCAGAAATCAGATAGAGACCGTGCTCTCAACAAGGATCCAGGTAATGATTTCATACAGACAGGCACCTTCCAGGATAAGGAGACAATCCCTGTCTATTCAATTCCTGTCCCGGCCTCTCTGAGGTACAGTATTTCCTTTTCAATGCAGCATCTACTGGGGAAAGAATTTAGGTTTTACTGCAATGTGTCTGGGACTACAGGGGGAAATACCGTGTTTATACTGTTAAAGGACCATTAAATAAATGTTGGCTGATGCACCTGATGTTTTTATAGAAATAAGGAGGTTCCTGTGTTAATAAGCATGGGGTCAACATACAATAAAATGGTGCACTCTAACCTCCTTTTCCTTCAGGAAGAAAGCATTTGAAATACCCTTCACAGATATTATGGAGTTATTTATAGAGCTAATGGAAATGACATCTTTAAAAAGACAAGCTTTATAGCAAGGTCTGCTAGCTTGCACACTTTGGAGAGATAACACTAAGTAACATAATTTCTAAAAGGCTTCTATGGTCTTTTTAATAAGTTCGGCTTTATACCAGACTGTTATAAATAGAAATCATTTGAGTGTGTGAAGGTGGCATCCAGAAACAATATAAATTGGGATGTTCAAAACCCCAAATTGATAATGACTTTCCATTTAGGTTATAGATTTTGGCTTGTGTGTACTTAAAGATGAGATGTTTATTTCCAATACTAGGCATCCAACATTTAAGTACTAAAAAAGTTAAATAAGGGTTACATCCTAATTTCAATAGACTTTTTTGTATTAAAGCTACAATTACCTTAAGCAGTTAACTAAGGTTTCACATCCTTAAACAGATATACACATATTTTAGAAACAAAGATTCAGAAATTCAGAAATTTTTTTCTTTTCTTTTTTTTAGTTTACCTATTATATCTGGGTTCAAGATTATTCCAAGCACCCAAATATAACAAGGAGTTTGCTTAAGAATATCACCAAAAGGGAAAAAATATTGCTGGGAAATCATAGGGTTTTACCCCATTAGCAAATTCATTATTAGTAACTTTATAAATTTCATCTCTGGATAACATTTTCAATAGCCATATAAAATGATTAGGTACCCCAGATTAAGCAAATTCTCTGGGATATTTGATTTATGTGTTGGAACAACTCACTTACCTTTTACAAAGAGAAGGGAAGAAATTAATAGCTGACAATTTATGAAAATTATAAACTAAAAAACAGCAATGGTAGCAATACAAATTCTTTTGTTTATATGTCATAATGCCTAAATGAATAAATTAAGTGGAAAAGCAAGACTGCAATAAATTTTGTTTAGTCTTTATACCATAAAACTACTTCAGGGGATTATTTTTGAAGAGTCAGCTAGAAATAAATTCAAGAAAGCCCAGTTATTATTCAATTATTACAAAATAAATAGAAGCCGTTTTCGTTATTAATTGCTATTTAACAAACCACTCTGAAACTTAGGGTGTTCACTTTCATGCATTATATCCTCTTGATCCCGTTGGCTGACTGGGTTCGGCGGGGGTGCTTCTTCTGCTGTGCATGATGTTGGCTGGGCCTGCAATCATCTTGGGGCACAACTGGTTCAGGATATGCAAAGTGGCTAACTATTGTGTCTGGCACCTTGTGGGGATTTCTGGAATACTGGCTCATCTGAAACTCCTGGGTTTTTTCTCTCTCACCCTGTAGCCTCAAAGTCTCTCTCACTGGCCTCTGGGCATCATCTCTCCAAGATGTTGGAGAATCCTTACATGTTGGCCTGGGGCTCCCAAAATGCATAGGTGGGAGTTGTCGGGGGTTCCTAAAACTCAAGCCTAAAACTGGCACTTCTGCCCATTCTGCTGGCCAGAGTGACACCTGGGCCTACACAGGGATATGAGTTTGGGGAGGTGTGGTTCATTTGGGGCCATCTTTGGAGTCCAGCTGCCATGCACACCTAGCTGCCAATTCCACACTCACTCCAAAAGACCAGGACATAACCAGCATTTTTATCCTCTTCTGTTTCCTAAATTCTTGACATCCTCTTTTGTACCTGCCGATATGTGGTGTTGCTTGCCTTTGCCCACCTAACACTAAAAACAAGTGATACAACAAACTGAAAAAAGTGTGAATTTTGGTCTCTAAGGGCTTCATTCTCTAACCTTGCCCTAAACTTTATTCCTACACTTCATTTTGCCTAATGTTTCCTTTTTTAAAAAAAAATTATTATACTATCAAAATGCAATTTATAAGAACATTAAAAAATTATAATTTTGCTTCAAAATACTACAATCAATTCTGTACTTGCTCCTACTGCTCTTAAGAGTCAAATTTTGAGAATTCTGTTAAACTATGTAATATAAAATGGTAATGTACAATTTAAAATAACCCACTTGTTAGTTTATATGTGGATCTTTAGAAAACAACTGCTTAAGAAGTCCCTTTTGCTACTACTATAGAAACCCAAAATTATCATGCCTTCTGAAAAGATCATTCTGGAAGAGGTACAGCAATAGGGGGTTCTATTAATACCAAAGTCATATTAGAGTTTTTAATACTCTAATACCTACGATAACTTAATGCTCTAAATTATCCACAATATATTCACTAGCAGTATTTACTCCCAGTGTATATACCCAGGCCCAGAATTCATCAGTTTAGAACATTTAGCTTTTTTCTCCCTTTATAAAACAGCCTACAAGAACACGTGGCAATCCTTAATAATCCCAGAAATAATGGAAGGTTACAAATCAGGGGTTTCAAAACTTAGCTCCTAGATACTACTACTTTTCATTTTAAAAGCTGTATTTTTCTCCATTTCAGACTGTCAGTGAGAAAGGACTTTTGAGGTTCACCTTCCATCTAAGAAGACTGAGATTGAAAGTGCACTTGACCTTCTCTCATATTTAATTAGTAACTAATCCCTAAAAGACATTTGTAATCTCACCATTTAAAGGAAAATAGTGATTCAATTTCTAAACTATTCTAAACTATTTTTATATAATTGCTTTGAAACGCTTCATTTTCAAGAGAGCTCTTTTTTTTTTTTTTTTTTTTTTTTGTTATTGTTGTTGTTGGCTTTCTTCTAGCTGGAAGAAGATATAAGCAAAAAAATGGACAAGGATGAAGAGGCTTTAAAGGCAGCTCAGGCAGAACTCAAAGAGGCCCGACGCCAGTGGCACCACCTGCAAGTGGAAATTGAATCTCTCCATGCTGTGGTAAGAATGACCTCAAAAGCAGCTGACCCGTTAAGTCTCCAGATGTTATTTGATGAAGCGATAGAGAGGAATAATGTCCATTATTTTACAGAGAGACACTGAAAATCAAGGCCACTGATATCTATTCCTGGTCTAATTCAACTCTCCCCACTCCCTCCTTCATGGCCATGGCTATTATCAATTTACACAAGATTTAGTTCAAGCCTACAGAAATGAAGTAGTCCTTGCTTATCACCTGGGGTTCTCTGATTGGTGGAGTGGGAGAATATGGCCTTTGTCTTTATAAACCAAGTCAAACAGTGGGGAGCCTTATCCATATTACTGAGACACCTAATAGAATAATATTCAGACTCCTTCCTTAAAATACCTTTTATAAGCAGTCTGCTCTGGCTTTGATACTCAATGTTTCACATTTTCAATGTTTAGAAAATCAAATAAATTTGGGGTTTAAACCTCAAATAAATCAGAGTGATATAAGTTAATTGCACTGCAGAATTTTGTTTGTTGGCCATAAGAATTATGGCAGGCTTCCTTTGTAAGAGTAACCTGTCTAATTAGATATAAAGATAACTAATCTCTATATCTTTAGATAACCATAGAGATATAGTTGGATATAGAGATAGAGTTAGATATAGATACAAATATAAATATAGACATACATATATAGACGTAGACATAGATACATGTATCTAGCTAGATATATGTAATATAATTTTTTTATAATTTGGGTCACACCCAAAGCTGAAAGGAAACACCTTTTGCATACATGATATACAATGATTGCAACCTTTTTTTAAAAGAAGAGAATGGGATAAAATGAAGACATTGCCTATCAGGTTTTCAGAACCCATTTTGTCTCCCTCCCTCCTTCACTGACAAAGATCTATCTCAAACAGGAAAGGGGCCTTGAAAACTCCCTCCAGGCCAGTGAGCAACATTACCAGACTCAACTGCAAGACCTAGAGGCAGTGATTGAAGGATTAGAAAAGGAGCTACAGGAAGTAAGACAAGGCATCGAAAAACAGCTTCAAGAACATGAGATGCTGCTCAACACGAAGATGAGGCTAGAACAAGAAATAGAGACTTATCGCCGCCTCCTAGAAAAGGAGGAGATCAGGTACCAAATTCCATATAGTTGATGACAAATTGCAAGAAATAAAGGGCCACATACACCAGTATTGTCATCGGAGAAATTAAATCTGAAAACTCATCATCAACATGGCAGGCTTACGGAGCCCCTACCATAAAATAAGGTTAGCACACCTGCAAGGAATATGCAAAACTACTTCCAGCCACTCAACAGTAAGAACAAAATAGTCAAAATTGGGACACTAGCTACCACAAAGAGCACATCATCCCTAGAACAAAATGTAACCAATTCTCAATCACTAAAAAAAAAAAAATATTTTCTTAACTAATTCTCTCTTTTCTTGTTATTCATCTCTTTTAGAATTAGGTCTATGAACCACCCACAGAAGCAGCTTAGAAATTCACATATTCTTCACCTATTTAAATCCAGATACCACATGCCCCCAAGGGCCCAGTCCCATCACACATCAAACACCAAAATCATCATCATCATCATAATGACGATAATGTGATTATCTTACAGCCACAGTAAACAATGCTGTTCTGAGAAGAGGTCTGTAGAAGAGGTCCAGGTCTCCTGATAACAAAAAGTACCAAAAAGTTTTATTCACGCCTGTTCTAGTCTAAATCTTTTAAAATCCACATGGTTTTGAGTACAGCACAATTTCCGATTATCCATGACCCCATAAAAAAAAAAAAAAAAAAAAAACCTTTATTCTTGCTTGTTTCCATTCTGAGTCCTCTCTAAAACTAGATATAACAACTACAACCTATATCATAAATCTTGACATTTACTAAATATTTGGAAAACAAAATGAATTCAAAGTATACAGTTTCTAGCTGAGTGGTATCAGCCAAGTTACTGAACCTCCCTGCCTCAGTTTTCTCATCTATAAAATAGAAATACTAGTAACCTGATAAGATCATTGTGCAGATTAAAATAATTAATTTGTGAATTGCTTAACACAGCATTATATATAACAGTAAATATATGTATGCAATTATATAATGTATTTCTTACTCAAATATACAATTCAAATATGTAATTTCAAATATACTATTCAAATATATAATTTATTTATTTTTAAATGGTTATGAATTTTATTTAATTCCTAATACTTTAAGATGTTGATAAATTGATCTTTAATATTACTATAATTTTTTACTTATTATTCTATTTTTAAAATGTACAAGAAAGTATCAAAATGCAGTAGACTTCAATGTAGCACCTTAAGAGATAAATTATTTACAATGTTATTAAAGTCCTCCCCACATCCTAAACCACAACCACCTCCCCATCTCATCCTCCTGCCTCAATCTAACCTGGCTCCTGAAATTGATGATTAATAGTTTCATAAATTCCTTTATACTAATATGTATGTATCACTAAGCAAATTATGAAGTTGCTTTTACATATTATTTTAACCTTTATAAAATTAGCTACAGTTTGTTTTGTTTTGTTTTTCATTCAGTGTATACTTGGGAGATTCATCCATAAATTCATTTATTTTCATGCTAAATAACATATACTACTACATTCCCTTAATGTGAGCATTGGTTTCAATTATATGCAAATATGATATTGCTCCTGTAACATACTTCTTTCTAATTTCAGATATTATGGCTGTATCCAAGGTGCAAAAAAAGAAAGAAAAGCTACCACGAGTAGGGTTGGCTTTGTTTTACCTTCAGGTGAGTTTCTGATGAATAAACTAGCTGGAAAGGTGAAGAGCTCTTGATAGGGAGTATAAATGAATAAACAAAATGCTCGTAATAGCAAAAAACAAACAATATTTGACCATGTGACATAATCACTGTGAAGAACATTTCGACTTTGTAACTTAATATTTCATAAATAACATTTTCACAGCCATTATAAATGAAATATCTTTCTCAACAAAAGTTCCACAAAAGTTTGATAATGAAAAAGTGGAGACAGTGACCAAACAGGCGATATTAAATGGAAATATCGTGAAGGAGAGCACGGAAGCACACGGCACTATTCAGTAAGTAAAACAATGTTGACTAAGAAATCCTAATAAGTATATGCAAAGAAAGTAATTCTCACTGCGTTATCTTACTAATTAATTTTCTTTGTTTGAATGTTTTCAAACATAATTTTAATCTACTGTGATTTTTTAATCTGACATGAATAAATATATATATAAACAAAAACTCTGATGGAGTACTCAATCCTTAATTCACCATTTCTCCTAAAATTATAACCAAAACATGAGCATCCCATTGAAGTCCTTAGGAATTAAATTTGTATGATTTTAAAGTATATAAACTATAAATTCTATAATGTATAGTGTAGATTATAATTATAATGTAAATTATACATTATACAAATTTCTTAATTTCTTTTTCAGATGGAATACATATTACATATTCTTTACTATTTCCATACTCCTTCATATAGAAAGGTTTATTTTATCATTTCAGGACAGAAAAAGTGGATGAAGTTATTAAAGAATGGGAAGGTTCCTTCTTTAAAGATAACCCTCGATTAAGGAAAAAATCTGTTTCTCTTCGTTTTGATCTTCATTTAGCTGCCACTGATGAAGGGTGTTTACAGACTAAGCAAGATAATCTACCAGATATAGAAGTCAGGCTTATCATGAGAAGGTCATGCAGTATCCCCTCCATTAAACATCCATCAGCAGCAAATTAATCTAAGGCAGTATTTGATTTGATTTAAAAATGACACTAGGATGGACCAAGGTGTCCATGCTGACCACCTTCTGTCCTAAAACATAACTTATTAAGTACGTATGTTATGATCGATGTGAGTCACTTCAGAGATAAAAAAAGGTTAAGACACAAAATTTCTAATTATGGATGTATTTTTTGGAGAGGGGGCACTAAAATAAAATCAGAGATTCAGTATGATTTATTTATTTTTCAAAGTCTTCCCTTGAAATTTTGTCAGCAACTATAAGCATTAATCTGTGTTAGTTAAGTGTAACATTTCACTCCGTGGCTGAATATTGTAAGAAAAAGGGAATCGTTTGTTTAATACGATTGAATATTTAGTAATAATACATGAAGAATCTGAGTTACATATAATTGTCCATGACTGGTTCTAGCTAAAGGTTTTTCTACTTAAAAAAAAGATATCATTATAAACAAACTTCTAAAAAAGAGTCATTACACACTTAACAAAATTTTTCCTTTAGAGACAATCATTTGCACACCTAGAAAAAATAACATTTACTTTCCATGAGAACATACCTCAGGGCTAATTTTATGATTAAATACAATTAAGTTCATCTTTATCTGAAAGTTTTTGTAATCATTATGTGTTTTCCAGGAAAGTTTCTTTACTCAGTGAATTTTAATGTTGTGTCCTCCCCATAAAAAAAAAAAATTTTTCCCATCTATATAGTAAAATGTGATTGATTTGGGTGTTGGATGTGAACATTAGATAAGATACTATGCGGAGATACTAAAGAAAGATAGTTCTTGTAATCATTTATGTGAATTAAGATAACATTAACTGTTATCTAAGCTAATAGTATTTGCAGGATTTCCATTTTAAATTGCTCAAACTAATAAATATGAATAGATAATATAATTGTGAATAAGTATTGTTGCAAAGTTTTTTAAATACTATTATTTAATACAAGTATGTTTATTTTAAGACTTTAAATAATAAATACTTGTTTAAAACATTAGAAATTTATAAGCTATTAATTTTTTTCTAAGCAGAAAAAAATGTCGAGAACAACTCCCGATACTTTTTTCCCAGCTAAGATGTCATCTAAGGGCTACAGCTACTTCTGTTAGCATTTCAGTCCAGCCTTTGCAACCTTTCTCTCTCTTGCCTTTATTTCAACCAGGTAAAAAAATGAACCTGAAGAAAATGTTAAAACACAATACAGGGATATAAAATTTTAAATGATCTTCCAATTCAGATTCCTTTGAGCCTGGCTTATTCTATTTAGTAAAAGATGATTTTGTTTTGTCAAGGGTACAACAGCATGTTAAGTGCTTATTCTTGTGGAAGCATCTGACCTAAAATACATCCTCTCCATAAGTGTTTTCAGTCAATAGTAGTTAAATGCTACTAACTTTATTAAAACTTTGGAAAATTGCAGTCATCTAAGCTATTGTACTAATGCAGTCATATAAGCTATTGTAGTATTCTAGACAACAATGATCATAATAAAGCAGTCTCTAAGTGTAATCTGTATGTGGTGTCAAGAATTTAGCACTGGGCATCATGAATGTAACTGCTTGTTATAGTAATTCCACTATCTATGCAGCTCTTGTGTGTATAAATGTACATTTTAATATACAGTACTTGAATTTATGAGTTTTATTTGCTTTGGGGTATTTTAAATTGGGATATGAATTTGCCAGAGTAAATGATACCACTACAATAAAAAAATTGGAAACATGAACTCTAAAGCAGCACTGTATTTGCATTTGATGCCATTGTATTGAGTTTACTTGTTCCAATATGGTTAGCTTACTTGGGGAATAAAGAAAACTATAATTACAGTGAAAAGATAATGGTTTTATATTTTTTCCCCATAGAAAAAAAATGAATAGTATATTCTAGTTCAAAAAATAATCCCATAGTCCTAGGGGAAATAAAATCACAGTAGCCACCATTTGCGAAGTGCTTACTCTGTCCCTGCCACTGTGCTCGGCATATTCATATATATTCTCTGATTCTTACAAAAATCCTACAAGTGCAAAATGTTGTCCTCATCTTCTTTATTTTTAAAGATTTATTTATTTATGCATATAAGAACTGGGGTACAGGCTAGGGAGAGGGATTGAGAGGAATCACCAGAGACAGAGTGGGGAGCAGAACAGGCAGAGCTTATGGATAAGCACAGATGTATACTCTTCCATGTCTCAGTATTAGTTCAAGTGCATGTTCCATAACAAATTACAAGAATAAAGAGTAACTCCACTTACTAACAGTTACAGGATTCTAGCCCTGGTATTGTCACTAGCTGCCTTTGTAATCAGGAAAGAATCACTTAAGTTCCCTGAGCTTCAGTCTTCATACTTGAAAACAAAGGGAAAGATGATGCTTGGTAGTAATTTCTACCCTACCTACCTTATAGAGCTGTGTCAAATATACACCTGAAAATATTTGGCAAAGCACTATTCAAATATACAGTATTACCTGGATGAAAACTGTCACAGGGAAAGAAGAATTCGTGAGGATAAATTATAACTTCCAACTTTTACTTTTCCAAGTGAAAGTTCAAAACACAACAAAGAAAATTTTGTTAGCTACATGCTGTCAGAATTACTTTCCCAGTGAGTTACCCCATTTGAAATGTTCTACAATGACAGGGTTTCAAAGTTCAAAAATGTTCTCCAGAGTCAAAAAAAAAAAAAAATGCTTAAATAAATTTGAAAGTTTCAAATGGAAACATATTACAGGACATGGGCCAAAAGTAAACTTTAAATAAAATGTATACACACATTACTCACATTATCAATGCAATGTAATTGGAATTCTGGGGCTCATGCTGCCTGTCACCACCAAATGCCAGTAAGCAGAGACAAGATTTGAATCTTTAAGGTATGCTTTATTCAGAAGGTATGCTTTATTCAGACAGTGGGTTAGTTAACTCCCAAAGAAACCACCTTAACATTTTATTGCAAGTTGGCATTTTATGAGTTAGACAAAGACAATTATTCATCAGTAAACAGGCCTCCACTCTGGTCAGGAATTTGGGATGCCTGGCCCCCAGAGCTTTTTATCACTCTTCTGAACATCTGTACTCAGGCATACCTCAGTTCCAGAGCCTGGACTCTCCACCTGGGCTGGAAAACTAACTCAGAGCAGATAGGCCATAAGCAACTTGTGCCCAATCCCCCCTCTCTCCCAGCAGCCCCTGGAATTATTACATCAAAAGAAAGTTTGTGCCCAGGGCAGGATTTGGGTTTATTAAAGATCATGGCCAGCATTATAAACAGCCAATATTCGACACACTACAAATAAACATTTTGAAATAGCTATGTGCAAATCAGTACAGAACTTTCCAGTTTCCCTCACAAAGTTAGACCCTAGACCAAGTTGGCAAATGTTCTCTGTAAAAGCCCACAGAGCACATTTTTATGCTTTCTGGGCCATCCCATCCCTGTAGCAACTAGAGTGCTATGCCCTGTAGCTGAAAGTAGCTATAAATGATATGTAAATAGCATGATTTTCTCATAAAACTACTTTTTGTTTTGCTTTGAAACAGTTATTTGTAAGGTTTTTAACATGTAATGGACATATTTTAAATGAATACGATCAAAATGTGCAAATACAAAAACAGGAGGCTGTCTAGATTGGGCCTGCAGCTGTAGTTCACCAGAACCCTACACCTTCAAATGAGGGCTAGGGATGACAAAAGCATAGCCCAGATTCTCAGGCGATCCTGCTTCATTTTCACCCTTTTCCACACACTGTGTCAGAGTCATGTCCCAAGTCTCAAGGAATTTTGCAGGCAACGCAGAGGAATGTAAAAACAAGCCATACTTTGTCCAATTTCCTCCTGGAAATCTGCTGGGCTTCACTATTTCTAGTGATAAAAACTGAACCCATAACTTCTGCTTTCACAAAAACAGTTGAGAAAATTCACCTATTTCACCATTTTGCCAATAACCAGACTTTTTACAACCTATGTGGCTCAGGAAGAGTTTGAGCCTGCCTTTTCCTACGTTAAGGGGGAGGAATCCATTTTTCAAAAAGCTTCCCTCTAATCTGACTGGTAAACCTAAGAACTCACGATTTAGGGAAAAGAGCCGCGAACCCCAAGTCTGCTTCAGTACACATTTCCTGAGCATCTAACAATGGGTCACACCTTAGCAAGACAATATGAACATGCCCAATGCAGATGACTGAACAACCTTTACTTTCGGGGCCCTCCACAACCACGCTATAAAAGAACCATTAAGGTTCAAAGAAAGGATGGGGGGGTGGAGGGGGAGAGAAAGAGCAGGGTCCCAGGAGGGCAGTACGAAGACATATATGTGAACTGGGTGTGGAAGGGTGGGTGAGGTTAAGCTGAAATTGGGGGACAGTCGCTCCCCGCAGGGGAAACCGAATGAGCCAGGTCCTTGTAGTGCAGAGAGCAGGGATAAGCCCCAGCCCCGGGCCCTCGCCAAGCGGCCAAGGGCAGCAAATCTGGGCCCGCTTGGCTGTGAAAGCTGCGGCACTCCACACCAGCCTCGCGCTCGCTGAAACGGAACCGGTCGGCGCTGCGGTTCGCCAGGTGAACAAGGCCCGGCCCGTGAAACAGGAAGCCTGCGAGGCGCAGGTGGATACAGCAGCTCTGCGAAGGCAGTCCGCCTCCATCCTCGGCTCGGCGGAGTGGACCCTACTCCCGTTCACTGAGAAAGAGTAAAGAAAAGGGACCGGAAAACAAAACAAAACAAAACAAAAAACCCGCGGAGGCGGCGCGGCCGGAGCTGGGCCGGCGCGGCCGCAGCGGATCCGGGGCCTCGCGCCCGGTGCGAATCCCGTCGTCTTCCAGCCCCGCACGGCGGCCCAGGGCCCGGCTCCCACTCGTCCTCGGCGGGCGCGGCCCGGCACCTCCCGCAGCGTGGGGCCGACGCCGCCCGGGCTCTCCCGGCCGCGGACCCAGGCCTACCCCGCGGCCGGGCCCCCTCCGCCCTCTTCGCCGTGACGAATCGGCGCCCGGCTGGCAAAGTACCCAAATTCGGAGAGTTTTGTGGACCGCGTGGCGCCGGAAAAAATTCCCTGACGGTACTAAGCGTCACTGCGCCCTGACCAGGAGGCTTATTTTTCTGAAGAGAGTCGGGCGGAGCCAGGGAAGAAATTCCGGCGAGTGTGGAAAGTGCGAGTGCGGAAGCTCCGGGCGCGAGGGGCGGGGCGTGCGCGGGACAAAGGGAAGCGAGGCCGGAGCTGCGGGCGCTTTTTCTGCCCGCGGGTGAGTGTTTCCAACTGGGCCCGACCGGGTCGGGAGGGTGCAAGTCGTGGAGTCCCGGCGTGGCTGGACCCGGAGCTCCCCGGGGTTGCTGGGAGTCAGGCTTGGCCGCGGAGCCGGGGCCGTGGGCCGGGTGCGGCCTCCTTGAGGCCTAGCCGAGCCGGGGCTGGGAGGGAGACCCGCCTGGGGTCCTTCTTCCGAGGCAGAATGTGCCCCTTCCACTAACTCGGCGAAATTGGCCGAAGCTCCCAGGAGTAGCCCCCTTGAGTGGAGTTGCTGATAAAGTGCATCCTCCACAACAAACCTAAAGGAAGCGACCGCAGAGGAAGCCCTTGGGCGGCCAAGCCCGTGGTTCTCACCCCCCAGGAACGTGGTTCCCTTTTGGTTAGGGCGGTATGGTCCAGGTAGCGACCAGTGGGCTCACGGTGTGGTTTAGTTGAGAGCAGAAGCTCTGAAAACAGTTTGGCCTGGGTTTGAAACCCAGCTCTGGCACTTCCTGGCTGTGTGGCTGTAGACAAGTTACTTAAACTCGCCGAGACACCTTTTTTGCATCTGAGAAAGAGGAGTGGCAGTGCAGATCCCATAGGAGCATTGTGATTAGCAAACGGGATAGTGTAATAAGCGAGTCCCGTCTAGGATATTTAACGAATGCTTGCCGGCTATTTGATGCCAGACACCAGGGATGGATCCCATGGTCGTCCAAGCCCACGCAGAGTTTATAATAGAGCAAAGGAGATAGTTTTAAAAGTTGTAACAAGCAAGTGTGATGTACTAAGAAGCTTGTGGCAGTTATTGTCACGGCTCCACACTGGAACGCCTACTGGATGTTGACAGCTCCCTGAACGGGAACAGGAAGGAAATCTGCCCCAGAGTCAGGGGTTTTTGCTTGTTCTGTAAGAAAGAGAGAGACCCCAGGTTGGGTTGTTGAGAAAATTAAGTACTTTCCACACCTGGCATCTTTCTCCTTATGCTCCAGAGAATTCCCTTAAAATGCACAGAAGCAAAAAAGTCAAGTTTGTTTAACATAATATTGGATGAAAGAATTCCAGCTTCATAGATGTTATTTGCCTTTTCTTAAAAAAAATGAATTTTTGTGTCTTTATACACACTGTTGGTGATGTAGATTGAAGTAAAGGACAAACTCGTGTGTACGGTCATGTTGTGAGCTGATAATACTAGGACAAAATTTATTAAGAATTGAGATGGGTACTGGGAATACAGAAATGAATTACACGGTCCCTGTTCCCAAGCAGCATACATCTAGCCATAGTGATAGGTTAAACCAAAAAAGATACAATAACCAATATCATAGTTCTATGTCATTTGGGTGGGGAATGCAATTCAGGTGAGGGAGCAATTCTGCCCAGGTGATTAAGAAAGTTACAATGAGAAGATAAAATTTGAAATGGGCAATGAACGGTGAATATGGATTTTCCAGGGAGATTCACGAAGTCTATTCCCAGCAGTTATAAAGCTATTTAATACTAAAAGACCTTTTTACACTGCCTCCAGGAATAAAATGCCCCATTTTCATGGAAGTTTTTATCCTAAAAAGAAGGTAGAGCTGCTGATCTGGGAGCTGTCAGTATCTGGTGGGCCTTATGTGGGCAGGCCGCAATAATGCCTTGTATTCTGTTGTCATATTTTTATCAATCTGATTAAATGTTTACATGACATCAGCAAACTGTTTTCCATGCAAGCGGTGGCTAAATATCATAAGGAAAAGCTTGAAAGTACATGTCTAATATTAATCTTAATATCCCCTGTAATTTGTCATAGTCATTTAATTTTGATCAGCCAAATGACCTAGGAGAACTATTAAAATTTGCCAAAAGACTTGATGTCTAGAACATAATGTAACTTTACTCAGAAAATATTAAACTACCCTATTTAGGAAAACATTCTATTATGCTTGCTGAGTTTTGATTCTCTTTTTTTTTCTTTTTTTTTCTTTTTTTTATTTTAGTGTCTCAGATTCATTCTTAAGGAACTGAGAACTTAATCTTCCAAAATGTCAAGTAAGTTTCATTTTTTATATTTATCAATCTATATTAATAAGAGGCTAATGCCCTAGCAAATGGGAATTCCAAAATACTCTCATTTTTTTTCTTCAAAACAGGACCATTGGTAGTTTTGTTGCATAGTATTATATCTCAGTTGTTTACAAGAAGTTATTTATTTTCTTTCAAACAGAAAGACCATCTTATGCCCCACCTCCCACCCCAGCTCCTGCAACAGTAAGTTTTAATTTTCTTGTTAATGTAATAGCCAAGTCTGGCCTTGATACAAAAACCCAGATGTCTTCCAGTGACAGTCACTCAATCATCACAGCACCAGGATGAAAAATTCAGCTAAAAAACAGCACTTCCTACTAAATAAAATAACTCTTTGCATCTTACCTTGAAGCAATCCCAACATTTAAAGAAACATACTGCTGAAATTCCAACCTCCTCTACTCAGCTTTGTGGTTTTTTTAATGGGAAACTAGTGATGATTTTAACTCTTCTTGTTGATCTTCTCTATTAAGAGTTTTTAAAGTTGATATTGAGTGAATGCTCATTCTGGCACTTACTATTTTTAAACCTAACCTTCAACTGGTTACATTTTTCTCTCCTTGTCTATATATAATTTTCATATTAAATTAAACAATAAAACTTCCAGTTCTATAATAACAGTCATTATAAATCTTTATTTTCATGCTGTTCAAGTAAGGATTTCATTATCTATGGGTCAGATCCTGCTCTGAATGTTATTCCACTCCATAAATACTATTTTATTGGTTTGGAAATTGATATGTTTCAAAGTGTCTAAACATTAGTTGCATACTAGTTTTTTCACCCAGCAAGCTCTGACCCAGCTTGGTCAGTATGTAAAATAGTTAATCCACAAAACAGATTTAACAGTAACTGTTGAGGCCTTACTTAAATAGATTCCTTGTTGTTGTTTTGTTTTTTGTTTTGTTTTGTTTTGTTTTGTTTTTAAAAAAATAAGTATTAAAACATCGACCAAAATCAGTTCTTTAACTGCTCTTAGCTATCCTTTCATACTCCCTATCCCCTCAATTTCAGGCTAGTCTACTAATTAGGTCCTTGAATAATTTTGTTTTCTCTACTAGATAACTACTTTGATTTACTAATCCTCACATATATATTTCAGTTATGTTTATCAGTAGTTTTTCCTTAGTAAGATGCTTTTAGAGAGTTACTGTGTCCTATTTTCTTAGTTCAATTTATATCACATACAGTCTCTAAAATTATTTCCAGTAGATCTTAAAGTCCTGTGTTTGGTTTGTTTCCTTTCTTAAATCAAGGAACATTTCTTATGACCGTCTCCTTGGCACTCTGCTAGTGGCTATTCAGGTGGAATTGAGGGTCCTGACCTCAGAGACCTAACCATATACTTCATTTTTGGAACTAAACTGGTATAATTGTAATGTTTCAGTTTTAATTTTTTTGTTTAGTACCCTTATCTCTCTTACATTATTGCCTCATGTTGAATAATGATTCTTATTGTTTATGCAACCTTCGAAGGTGTCATTTTGACGTAAATACTGCCTCTGACAGTGTGTAATATCTTGGAGAAACTTAATTTTTTTTGAGATAATAAAAATAGCTCAAAAACCAAGTGTCCCCTTATGACTTCTTAAAAAGGTACTTTTCTGCCTTTCTTTAACCATATTTCTGTATCATTATAATTTCACATTGACACGTAGTATCAGAAGACTAGGGATTAGGATAGCCAACAGAATGGATATTAAATGATTTTCCTTCTTTGTTTTTCCATGACTTCTACTACCACCATCACCACCACCACCTCCACAACTACCACCCAAATGTACCACCCCAACTAATATACACTTCTTTTGTGCCTTTGATACTTCACCTGTGTCTTGCCTACTTGAGTATGCTTATTTTGCGTCTTCTGTAACTATGTAGACTAGAGATTGATCAGTTGTTTTCTTTTCCTAAAGAGTATCAAATGTATTATCTGTATGAATGTCTGTCTTTGGGACAGAGGCATATTTTAGAAAGTTGTGTTTATAACAGCTTCAGCTTAGTTGGGATGTGTTTAAGTACATTTAAAGTTATAGAATTCAGGACTGACATTGTTAACTGCATGCTAAAATGAAATAACTGTCACTTGTTTTGATTGAATTTCATTAGGTAAAATACCTTCTTTTAGTCTCTCTTTGCTGCATTCTTTTTATGCATTATACCTTGATTCTCACGAACATTGGATATCATTGTATTAACCACAAGCCACTTCTATATGAGAGGCCATTTATGATCATATCAACACAAAATTCACAAAACCCAAGGATTTTGCTGCTACAGTGAGCATTTGTGTTTGGGAAGGGCTAGAGCTATCAGGAAACCAGATGAAACAAGAATGTTGAAGTCTGTGTGGACTAGAAAAGTAGTTCACATTAAAGCTAAATGCAGAAATTGTTCATGATTGACCTGTGGAAGACGGATCAAAGAAGAGGTGGAAGAGAAAGCCCATAAAAGAGTGACTGGGTTAAAACGATCAGACAGTGCCCCAGATTGAAATCCATGCATTTCTTACAAGTCTTTGTTTTGAAATCATGTATGTGACATTCATTGAATCCCACATATGTTCTTTTCTATTGACAACTCCTGGCTTCCTGATTTGAGTCTCATTTCTCACATTATATAAAATGACTTAAAACTGTCTTTGAAAGCAGATCCATTTGTTTTTATTTGTTTTTAGTAAATGAATACATTGGTGACATCCACATAACTGTCGAATAAATCATGTTTTGTTTTGCATGTAAAGTGTTTCAGACTTCTAGTTTATTACACTTCAAGCTTTCCTATCTCAGACATTTATCACTAAGTTGCTATATCGTACTATTGCCCATAAAGTGTCCTGAATGTTTAAGACACTTCACTGTATTGCTTACCCCAGAACACAAGCACACATATTCACCACTGATCCCCACAAAGAGAAAGAAAGGGCAAAAAAACACTTGCAGACTGGTTATTCAATGAAAGAAAAAGAACAGTTACAACACGTCATTGCTTGTTTAAATTCAGGTTGCTTTTGCATGCCATATGCAGATCATTTTTCATTTCTGTGTTTTCCTCGTTTGAGCTCATTTCTCATTCGTGTTTTTGTCTCATTTGTTTCCATTAGCAAATGCCCAGCACACCAGGGTTTGTGGGATACAATCCATACAGTCATCTCGCCTACAACAACTACAGGCTGGGAGGGAACCCGGGCACCAACAGCCGGGTCACGGTAGGAGAATCAACTATTACAGCATCCGGCAAACAACTGGAATTGACCAGAAATGCCTTCAGAGTTAGGTCCTTTGAATGAATCATCAGCACAGCCATTAACAAAATTTAACCTGGCTTTTCGACTATTTTAAACATTCGTTGTCTAGTCTTACACCAGAAAAGAAAATAGTGAGAGATGGATATGTATATAAAAAGAAGAATCCATTCTGTTTGGCAGTTGGTAGAGATAAAACCTTGGACACTTAATGCTTGTAATGTATATAGACAAACCTACAATGTCTTATGGTTTGAAATAACCTTTTTTGAGATGAACAGTATCTTTCATTTAAGGTAATTAGCTTTAGGCTCAAGAACTCAGTTTCTTAGTAAAGACTAGGTTTGCAGACCTGGCTCTTTTGGCTTACCTACAATTTTAAATCGTTAATTTATTTGTCTTTTGGATTTAATGGTTGACCTAACTAAAATTCATTTCTCTCCAGTTAAAAAGAAAAAGGTTTTATGTCCCCTCGAAGAATTGCAGAATGAAAATTACATGAAATGAATTTGAACTACCAGACTAGATGTGCCAACTAGAAGTGCCTTTATAATCCATAGGATAAAGGATATGATTTCTGAACTCAGGATGTCTCATTCAAATGATCAGTTTAAAATTTCAAATTGGATGATGTATTTAAGACTTTTAGAATCATCTTGAGCTGTATACGAGGAAGTCTGGGTGTCAAAGAAATGACTAAAAATGATTTACCAAAAATAAATCCAAAAGTCAAATACATCCATGCATTGGAATGTGATATTGGTGAGAATTTATACAACCCAGAATGGCTATAAACCTTTTAATACCTGGTTTTTATTTGCTGTATTCATAAGTAATTCAACTAATATGACTTCAGAAAAGCCCTCTCACCCTGTAGTCAAGCCAAAGCAGAAAGCTTGTAACTATCAAACTGTATGTCTATCTTGGTAAGCATATTGCTTAGCTTGATAGATTTGTTTGTCTAAATTTTTCATTGTTTCTGCATTATTTTGTACTTCATAAGCACATCAAGTTTTATGTGCCATGCGTATTTCATGGTATCTGAAGAGAATTTAAAGTGTGTGTATGTAAGCATTTCACGATGCAGTTTTTATGTGCATTGGTGTATGTTTTTCCCAGTCTAAACGTGTTTCACAAAAGTAATGGGTGGCAAGATTATCAAGTGGTAAAGAACATTATAATTTAACCAAGGAGCAGAATCAATTTTGGGTCATTCATGTTAAAGTAGAAAATTATTCATGGACAGTAAACCAGAAAATTATTATGTTTTAATAGCTCTATACAGTCAGCTCTTGATTATCTGTGTTAATAGAATAGAAATGATGGTGATTATAATATAACAATCTGCATTTAAGTTTGTATAAGTGTTTAATTCTTAACTTGGATATATCTGTGGGTATTTTCTGCTCATAAAGTGAGCTCACTGAGTGGAGACTTACTAAGCAAAGAAAAATGCACTTGATGCCTCAGCACCTGGGGCAGTTATCTGTTTCTCCTGGTCCTTGGGGTTTATAGAACCTAACATTTGGAGTAGGCACCAGCTTCAGGGTAGAGTGTTATAGAAGAGTTGTTGGGTATAGAATATTTGGTGTTTGGGTTCTTTGTGATTGTTTTTCTCTGTATCATTGTCGTATAATCAAGCTGCTATTTAGATGTAACCTGAAGAACCTAGAAAATGTGGAGGCTCTTAGTCTGTGTAAATCCCAGCCCCCTCAGATTTTTTTAACCTTTCTCTTAGCTCACTGAGAAATTAATTATGCCTGAAGTTTTACACTAACTTTTTTATGTATCTAATTTGAGCTGTGTTTGGGCTCAGTAGGTCTAGTTCTAACCATTATAAACATGTTTTACTTTATAAGATGACCCCAGTTTTGTGTTACTTTTGCCAAGGGCGAAGGGAGGCACCTGTTTGATATTTTGTCTGCAAATCACCTTAAGTCGGTGATATGAAGGAATGACTATATGAAACACTATGAAGCTTCCTGTAGGTCTATAGAACACCTGGTTTCCCTGGAGACTCCTGTACACTTGAATAGTTTTCAGACTGTAAACACTTTATACAGCAACATTGAAGCCTTTTAGAGAGCTTGTGAAGGCTGTGCAGTGGATGTCACTCCCAGTCAGTTCTTTATTCAGATGATGATTGACATCCTCATAAGTACAGGTGTGGAAACAGATTAAGACAAAAGGCTATCTATACACAGTTTATTTCTATACTTTAGTGGAAATAATATTCTAGAAGAAAACCCTTCAGTAAGATGTTACCAGAGAAATAGCTGAGAACTGGGAAGAACAACTCTTTGAATAACCCAGATAAATGTCACAAATGATGAACTTTGTTCTGGGAGATGTCCAGTTTTAACACGCATAATTGCTTGTTGACTTACTCCCGTCTCAGTTGCTGGTGGAGATAGGTTCCTGACAGTACCAAAAAATGAAACAGCTAAAATGGAAGCATACCCCTGACTGGCATCACCACTGCACCATTTAATACATTTAATGCAGGGGTCATTACTCACAGTTTAAACCAGAAGCGCGGGGCCAAGCAGTGGTTGCTTATAGTCCGCTCTTACTAAGACGAGGTTAAAGTATGTTCAGTGCAAACTGCTTTTCTTTTTAACAGTGGAAAAATGTTTAAGACATTGTAGAAAGATACTGAAATGGTTAAAAAAAAAATTAGGAATGTTTAATGATGTGAATTTTTAGTAACCTGAAAACTCACTATAGCTTTGTTATTACTGTTCCCCACTTTGTTATGTTTATAATTGAAAATTGACTGGTCAATGTAATGAAAATAAGACCTCAATACATAGATGATTTGTGTACCTTCCTTGGGAAGAAGGAGATAAAAGCAAATCCATTAATGTCAAAAAGTGTGGTCCTTTGAAAAGTATCAAAAAGCAGCTATCACTATCATTTGTTTTTAGAGTGTTTTCATTCAGCATATTCAAGCATAAACATTTAAGAATTCTTTATCTGTTTACTTTTTAAACACACTTGCATTGCACAATTCCAACTTTATTTGTAATCCATTTGTGGGATTTGAAGGTTTGTGTTGGATATGAAATGGAAATGCTTTCTCATACCTTCAAGTAAGAATCGCTCTTGAGTGTATATTGTTCTGAATCCATGACATAAGCTTAGCCTTATAGGAATCTCCCCCCAAACTCCTACACCCCAACCCCTTGAAAGAACTACAGCCCTGAGGCAGAGGTCCTCTTATTAGCTGCTCATACCACCACTGTTGGGAGTTTCCATCCCCCGTGGCTTCCCTCACTCTGTTGCCCACTGCTGACTTAAAAACTTCTTTCTACATGGGCAACAGCATGAAATGTGGCGACAGAGCATAGAGGAATGAAAGACAGGAAATAATTGCTTCAAAGTGAGATGCTTTCTAATAACTTCATGTACGAAGAAGCAGAGTTAAAAATATATATAGGGCTGAAGGGAGACCCTCATAGGAAGGAGAAGCACTATTTGAATGCAGTGGGAGGGGGTGTAAACAGGCTAACCCCCGAGCCCTTGGACAAAAAGTGTTGATTGTGGTCCCTGGCCTAAATGAAAGCATTTCCCTGGGATTTTTATCACAGCAACAGAAGAGCAAGGGAATAAAAATGTCACTTTAGTTTTCTTCTAAGCAGTTGCCAATCCCTTTCTTTTGATGTGAAACTAGCACTACCTGTCCTCCTCCCCCAGGCCTGGCAAGAAGAGTCAGTATCTGGGGCCAGCGGAAATTCAGGGAAGACAAATGTGATTCAATCATGACTTTAATCTAGGTCCTTGATCAGGTGCAGTCAAGTGTGGAGGAGACTGGCATGATTAGGCACTTGGACCAGCCGCCTTGGGTGCGTGAGAAGCTCTCTGGTATCTCACACCGAGGTGCTGGCCCTCAGAAAGCAACAGTCATCTTTCTCTTCCCCTTCCACACACACACACACACACACACACACACACACACACACAAATCCACTTTTCTCTACATCTTGCCCCACTCCTTCTGTTTCCCTTTTCTCTCTTACACCTTTCCCATAAAATAAAAAAATTTAAAGGAATGGAGTGATGCCTCAGAAGTAACCTGGTTGGGCTCATATCTGCAGTTTTTTTGTTCCGGGTAAACATGTTCATTCCTCCACTGGGAGTAAGAAAGACTAAGGACAAAAGGCGAGACTTCCCTTCACACTCCTTGATCCCTTGGAGAAAACCACTAGACATGAATTTAGAACTTTAAGAAGATTAAAAGTTCTAGTCTCGATAAAGGAGGTAAAGGTTTCATCTTGGTTTTGAATGTAGGAAGTAGTTTCTGTGTTGTTAGTAGTGGTGGTGTTGATGAGGGACTGTGTTCCGCATACAGTATAGGTATTCCCTTTATTGTGAGTGTGACAAGTCCAAGAGGAGTTCAGAATCTGCAGATAATCAAGTGTTGACTGTATGTATAAGGGTAAATTAAGCAAAACAAAAGAGGGCCAGGTAATGACTTAGATGTGGAACATTTGCTATGTAACCCTATCTTTTCAGTATTTGGGTTATTATGTAATATTTTATTTGTTCTTACAGCCAGGTTGTCAAAGCAGTCGCAATCAAAACTGCTAAGTAAAACACTAAAAAAGTATGTTCTTGAAGTCATTTTCTTTTGATATGAACATTTCTGAATTTGCAGTGATAGGTATTTTCAGAGGAGAAAATATAAGAATCTTGTATCCATGGACGAGTAGAAGAAAGGCGCATTAGAATTTTTTAAGGGACTCTCTTTTCAGTTTGCTGGTGAACTCCTTGCAGTTGAATAATGAATGTTTTAACTCTTTTGTAGGCATCCTCTGGTATTACGATTCCAAAACCCCCAAAGCCACCAGATAAGCCACTGATGCCCTACATGAGGTACAGCAGAAAGGTAGGTGCCCAGGAGCCAGCGCACAGTCAGGACTGCCATCTTGCTGCTTTGTGTTTTATTGGGGGTTTTTTTTGTTTTGTTTTGTTTTTTTGCTTTTTTGTTTTGTTCTGTTTTAAGATTTATTTATTTATACAAGAACTGGGGTACAGGTCAGAGGCGCGGGAAGGTGAGAGAATTCACCAGAGAGAGTGGGAAGCAGAACAGGCAGACGGACCGAAATACACTGCTGAGGGGAGCAGCGGGCGAGGCAGGAGAGGTCTGCCACGCCACGTGGGTGTCTCCCTGGCCGGCCGGGGATCGAACTCATGCTGCAGAGGCTGCGGAAAGCTTCCAGTGCTGCACTCAACCCGCTGCACCACCGGGGAGGCCCTTACTGCTTTGTTTTACATCAGATTTCAGATTCGCTTCACCAGCTTTTTCTACGCATAGCCAGAGGAAAGGATAAAAAATTGTGTTTTTTAAAGAAATGAGTTCTGCTTTCAAAATTCTAGAACTGTTAAAATCCTTAAGACAGTGTTATGTAGTCTTGGAGAATATTTAATAATAGGAGAAAATGTTAAGTGATAAGAGAAATACAAGACTACATGTATTAGTATTTTGTATTAGTAAAAATAATAGCAATTCCATGTTAGTTTGAAGTGGAAAAAAAAAAACCTAGACGATAATGGTTATCCCTAAACAGTAAACTGTAAACTTATGGTAGTTTTTATTTTCTTTATAGTTCCTTGAATTTTCCCTTTTGGTGATGAACCTACATTACTCTTAAAATAATAAATGTAGCCTCTGCACCCCCTCTCCCTCTGGCCTACACCGCAGTTCTTCAAATAAATAAGTCTTCTAAGAAATTAAAATAGGGCCTCCCTTGTGACGCAGGCAGTTGAGCACAGTGCTCTGAAGCTGTCCGCAGCCTCTGCAGTGCCAGTTCTATCCCCACCAGCTGCGGAGATAACCACATGGTGGGACAGACCTCTCCTGTCTCGCCCGCTGCTCCCCTCAGCAGTGTATTTTGTTCGGTCTGCCTGTTCTGATCCCCGCTCTGTCTCGGGTGAATCCTCTCACCCTCCCGCATATCTGGCCTGTACCCTGGTTCTTGTATTAAAATAAATGAATCTTTAAAAAAAAAAAAGAAATTAAAATAATAAATATAGCCAATATCTTTATTAAAGACCAAAGCATTTAGCCATTTTTACCACTATTTAGAATTTTTGGGGGTTTTTTTGGTCATAATTATTACGTATTTGATGATACAATATATTGTACTATGTAAATTAGCCACTTTCAGATTCTGATGAACTTTTAGAGACATAGTATGCAATGTCACTGAGTTCACCCATTTGAAGTGTCTACAGTGATTGGAGAGATCTGAGATCTGCCTTAAAACAATCACACAGAATTAAAATGATAGGAGATTGGCCAACTGTAGATAATTTGTTGCAGCAGACAGATGAGAATATAAGGATTTGTTTATGTTTAAAAGTTTGCACATTAAAAAGTATTTTTAAAGGCTTTTTTGGATTCAGTAGTAAAATTTCAACTGTTTCTTTTTCAAGGTCTGGGACCAAGTAAAGGCTTCTAACCCTGACCTAAAGTTGTGGGAGATTGGCAAGATTATTGGTGGCATGTGGCGAGATCTCACTGATGAAGAAAAGCAAGAATATTTAAACGAATACGAAGCAGAAAAGGTAGAATGGGGACTGGAGTGGGAGGGATGCCATGTAATATACATAAGCAATTTGCTTATTTTTAAAAAAGAAATAGAAGAATTATCAAAAGCTGAGGCTATTCTAAGGCTTTGCCTGCCTGGATCAAATCACTGAATTTCTTTAGGCTCCAGATTCCTTGACAGTAAAAAGGAAATAATTTTCATATCTTTTGCTATTCACATGAGATAATACAGATATTCATTGTAATCTGCAAAGTGTTAATTATAAAACTGGAAAACATTTGAATTTCAGATAGAGTATAATGAATCTATGAAGGCCTATCATAATTCCCCCGCATACCTTGCATACATAAATGCAAAAAGTCGTGCAGAAGCTGCTTTAGAGGAAGAGAGTCGACAGAGACAGTCTCGCATGGAGAAAGGAGAACCTTACATGAGCATTCAGCCTGCTGAAGATCCAGATGGTAAGGAAAAACATGGGATTTTCTGTGTTTTCTCTGAGAATTAAAATATGAAAAGTCTTAGTTTTAAGTTTTTGTTTCTTATCTGAAATGGAAGACAAAGAATAAGTGTCATTTCAACATTTCGGTCAGTTCTTTTGAGTAAGATTTGTATGAGAATTTCCCACAAAAAAAAATCTTCCTTAGTGCAGAAAAGTAGTGAAAGCTATTTAGTGTTTAACAGAATCTTTGTACTCAAAAATGCATGAAAGATTTTTGAGTCACAATCAGAATTTTGTGTCAGCTGCCTTTAAACAGCTAAATGCCTTCTGGTTACATCCTATTTTTTTACTGGTTCCCTAAACTTCTGAATTAAAGACTCTTAAGGAAAAAAAGTTATGAAATTTCTTTCCCCAGTTAATTCAGAAATCCAACTAGAATTTATAAATATAGCTCATGATAACACTCATGAAGACAAATACATAACAAATTTTACACACACACACACACCCCACCCCCACCTCCACAGCTTCATTCCAGGAAGAGTTTGCTGGTATATAGATTGTGCCCCTAGTCCTTACCAGCCAGGCAGGGTCTGAAACTGCAAGGAGACTCAAGAGTTCTCGCCCTCACCTATAAGCCTGCTCATCCTTATATCAAGCATCAAGTGCAAACAGTATTTTTTCTCTGTGCTGTTATAATGTGAAAAAGGTAGAAACTCAAGCTCCAAGCAGCAGAGACATGAACAAAATAATTTAAGATCCTATTTTAAAGTAGCAATAGCACACAAGAAGCTTGTAAATTTTAAAGACACCTAAAGATATGAATAAATCGACATACTTTAATAGGAGACAAAAACAAGACTGCTTTTTTAAAAGAATGGACTGGAATATTGACAAATATTCTCGTAGACCACAGGATATAATGATAAATCTGGAGGACAGACTATGGACTGGAAACAATATGAAGCAGAAACAGCAGTACTGAAGAAATGAGGAAACACAAACTTAATGACCCAAATCAGATGGCATAATTTAAGAAAAACATAGAACTCAAATAGTTGATGACCAGTCTGCAGATAATTGAAAGGATGGGAGTCAGCACAAGAGGAAACATAAGCTAGTAACATAGAAGCCATAGTAGAAAGTAGTTAGGGTTTTCATTAAGTGAAAGGTCTTGGCTTGGTCGTTGAAAAGACCCAAAGGGAATCCCTCAGAAGCAGTCTTCAAAAGACGGTTAGTTTGCTCTGTTTCTCAAACATCTGCCATTGTGTTTTTCACAGTAAGGGGTTAAGATGCAGCACTATGAAGCTATCCACAGCCACTGCAGCACAAGTTCGATACTCGGCCAGGGAGGTGACCCATATGGCCCAGCAGACCTCTCCTGTCTCACCCGTTGCTCCCCCAGCAGTGTATTTCAGTAGATCCGCCTGTTCTGTTCCCCACTCTGTCTCTGGTGAATCCTCTCACCCCGCACACCTCTGGCCTGTACCCCAGTTCTTGTATGCATAGATAATTAAATCTTTTTATTAAAAAAAAAAAAGTGCTAATAAGAAAGGACAAGTAATTAAGATATTGGCACAAAATTGGCTTTAGACATTGGACTTTATCAGAACTGAGTAGAAAAAGGAAGACTTGGGAGAAAGGCGGCAGCTACTAACTTGTTAACAAAGGCCACTATCTAGGATACCCAAGGGGACACGCAGCTGTCCACTCAACACATGCTTAAAAATAAGCATGTGAGCCAGATCCATACTTTAGAGAGAGAGAGGATTGTATAGCAAGAGAGTATTACGTGAACTTGAGCAAATGGAAACAGTGCAGTCAGTACCTCTGCATTCCGACAGCAGCTGTATACATGTGTAAATTAAAAGTAAAATCTAGTATTAAACTTTCTTTTCCTATAAAATTACTATAGGACCTTAGTGGCTCAAATTGTACACTGATCTGAAAAACAATATTGTTAGAGATAATAATGCAGTGGGCATTTTCATTACTTTAGTGTTAAAGTAGTAACAGTGATATAGATACCACCCAGTTCATATGTTGTTATCAATTGTAAATGCCTTAAATAGCTATTGAGTGAAACTTGGCGAATTTTAGTTTTGCTGTAAATGTAGCCTTCATGCTGATCCTCAGTCCAGAAGATACACGGTTCTCTCATTCATGTTTCAGCCAAATCCTTCTTAGACATAGATCATCACTCAAAAGATTTCATAAAAGAAACTAGCACATTGGCCAGTGAACACATTATGTCCTCTGTGTGGCTTTATCACGTGACTGCCCCAGTGTTCCCAAGTTGCTCATTAGGCCCACTTGTTAGGACAGAGGGCGCCATGGTTCTGTGGTAATTAAAGGTTATAAACATTCTCCCATTTATGGTTACTTGTGACTTCATTTCCAGAGTATCTTGTTTATTTCAGATTATGATGATGGCTTTTCAATGAAGCATACAGCCACTGCCCGTTTCCAGAGAAACCATCGCCTCATCAGTGAAATCCTCAGCGAGAGCGTGGTACCAGACGTCCGGTCAGTTGTCACAACAGCTAGAATGCAGGTCCTCAAACGACAGGTCCAGTCCTTAATGGTTCATCAGGTACATTCACAAAGCATTTGTATAAAATGGGTCTGTGCCACAGATTCCGGGCCGCCTGATCTATAATGACGCAACAGCGCACGTGTTAAATACGTCTGTGCTCTGTCCAGCCTCTTCCTGACTTGGGGAAGAAGCTTAAGGGAATGGACCTTAAGTTTGTCATTAAAGCTACATGTAACATGGAGCCTTGTGCAAAGTATATCCATTAGAAATTTTGAGCGTTTAAAAAAAAAGAATTTTGAGCACCCTGTTAACCTCTGTTGCTTTACTAAATATTCCTGAGGAACTTCTTAAGTCCTGAAGTAGTATTCTTTCACATACTTAGTAATCATAGTCATTCTTCTGTGCTGCATTTTATGTTTTTTTTTAAATTGTAACTATATATATTATGTAACATTATTTAGATTAAAAAATCAAAACATTTGTCATGTGGATTATTTTCTATGTTTGATACTTGTTTTTAAAGAAAGTAATTCCATAATTACAAAGCCTGATGGTATGTCTTACAGCGAAAACTGGAAGCTGAACTTCTTCAAATAGAAGAACGACACCAGGAAAAGAAGAGGAAATTCCTGGAAAGCACGGATTCATTTAACAATGAACTGAAAAGGGTATCAAGTTAATGTGTTAACTATGTTTTTATTACTCTCTTACTTTTTTCCCAAGTAGTGTTTTTACTGAGTGTTCACTTTGAACAGGGTTACCTTTACTGTAACAAAATGATTTCCATTTTTCAAGCAAAATTGCTATAGTCTACACACATGCCCCAGGCCTTTAGGAAATAGAATGCTCTGAGGTTTTCATCTGAACTCCCATGTAGTCACGAATTATTTTTTATTTTTATTGATATTTATTAGACAAATATCTTCATCAGATATAGGTCACAATTTGCACTTCATATCCAGACAGATCTAGTGTTTCATGGCCAGTACTTTCACTGTTGCCTCCCCAGCAGTTCCGTGATATTTGACATCATGTCTGCTGAGAGCATGCTTCTCCTTTCGGCACAAGGGTTTCAGACAAGACCTAAAACATTTTCCCCCATATAGCCAGGAAAGCCCACTTTTGAATAATTTCTCTGTTTCAAGGCTTGTAAGAAAGAACATTACCAAGAGACTTGTTTTTGGGGTTTTTTTCTTGACTAGTTGTGTGGTTTGAAAGTCGAAGTGGATATGGAAAAGATTGCAGCTGAAATTGCACAAGCAGAGGAGCAAGCTCGCAAGAGGCAGGAGGAAAGGGAGAAAGAGGCAGCAGAGCAAGCTGAGCGCAGTCAGAGCAGCATGGCTCCCGAGGAAGAGCAAGGCGCTAGTAAGACAGAAGAAAAGAAGGAAGAGGAAAGCATGCCGATGGAGACAGGTAACCCCCCGGTGGGCGCCAAGACCTAGGTCAAGGGTTTTCACAGAGGTCTGTCTAAGGGCTTTTCCCGGATCACTCTTCATCTTGTCTCTGAGTTACTCTTTGTGACTTACCTTATCCTTTTCAAATCGTAATATTTACAGTAATTTCACTTCAAATGTTAGTATCAGCACAAAACAGCAATGGGATTTTGTCTGTGGTCTTGATATTTGAGGTCTTGGTAATTTGCACAGATTGAGTCCTGTCATTTTCTGCCTTGGGAATATCCAGTTTGATGGTGTGATGGTCAAAGATATTGGTCATGACAGATCTGGCCAATACAGTTTCACCACTTGCTGGCACATGGACTTGGGATAAGTTATTTAATCCCCGACTTCTCATTTTTAAGTATTCTAATGCCCAACTCTTGAGAGTGAGTTTCATATGATAAATAAAAATGTACATAAAAGCATGTAATACTGGCTCTGGCATGAGGTGGCCCTCAAATTTTTAACCTTTATTACTGAAATTATTTAAGCAAGATGTGGCTGTTGCTTGAAGATTAGTAGTCTTTGGTGTCATAGGAGAGGGTTGGGCAAAGTAAAACCTGCGGACCAAAAGCCTGCCCATTGCCTATATTTGCAAGTAATGTTTATTGGTGCACAGCCACATCCATTTGTTTACATATTGCCCCTGACTGCTTTGGGGTGACAATCATGTAGCTGAGTAGCGGAGCCTACTAATTGTAGCGGAGCCTACTAAAACCGAAAGTATTTACTATCTAGAAAAATTTTTCCAACCCCATCCCAAAAAAGTCTTACTTCCAAGTGTACTGGTTTCCCTGATTAAAAGTATTCCTCCAGGGTGAGGGAAAAAAAAAACAAACCTGTGAAACTTACATAAAGTACCAAATAAATGGACTATTACTTGAAATTTAGAGGCTACCTTACTTTCTGGCTCTGTCACCATGTCAGCAGGTATAAACTCTCAGGAAACACAGCCAGGGTCCTGGACTAGCAGTGCAAGAAGGAGGGGACATGGTCCTGCTTAGTTAAGCTCAGTGACAGCTTCAGATTTGACATCTTAAAAACATTTAATGGAATATAGATATTTTTGCCAGCTATTTCTACAAAATTTAGGTCAGCAGGTTAACATTTCAGATTTTAAGTTTGATTATCTGAGCCTTTTAAGTCTGATGATCTCTTCTGTTTTGAATGAGCATGTTTTTTATCTTAACAAATTTGGAACATGAGCGCGTTTTTGTGGTTAAAGCCACGAGCTTAAGAACAACAGAACAAGTTCTCTGCTCGTTTTGCAACTAGACAGAAAATTCAGTTCTTTGCCTGTTTTGTCATCTATGAAGAGTATGCCTGTAGATCTTTACTCAGATTTTATCCATCTTAAGACAAAAAAACTGAAGAAGTTTGAGACTGTTAGAGCGAAAGCCTCATGCTTTTCATTTCTTACAGAAAACGGCCCAGCATGACATTTAACAAAGTACCTAAGATAACAACCTTACATCATACCATGCTTGCTTTCTCATTCATGTACTCCAAAACACTCCGAGCAGTATTGTCCAAGAGACATGAAATGGGAGTCACTGTCTAATTATCCATTTTCTACTAATGATGCTTTTTAAAGTAAAGCAAAAAAGGTGGAATTAATTTTAATGTATTTGCTTAACCCAGTATATCCTAAACTATATTGTGTCAACATGTAATCAGCATTTTAAAGTCTTACTTTTTTTACACTGTTTCCAACCTCACAGTCTTCAAAATCTAATGTGACTTTATACTTAGAGCAATCTAAATTTGGAAGCTAAATTTTCATCAAATACTAGATCTGTGTTTAGATGTCATATATCAATAGCTAAAGAGAGACTTTCAAACCCTCATTTTTTCAAACATGCTAAAACTCCCCAGTCATCCTAGCTCATTTCAAGTGCTTAATGGTCACACGTAGCTAGTGGCTCCCACACTGGACAGCACAGCTCTCGGGTGTTCACATAATGAAAAGCGCGGGTTTTTGTCCTGGCACTGACGCTGATAAATGTGTGATTACAGAGGAGACACACCTTGAAGAAACGACGGAAAGCCAACAGAATGGTGAAGAGGGCACATCTACTCCGGAGGACAAGGAGAGCGGGCAGGAGGGGGTGGACAGTATGGCAGAGGAAGGGACCAGTGACAGTAACACCGGCTCGGAGAGCAACAGCGCCACGGTGGAGGAGCCGCCGACAGATCCCACACCAGAAGATGAGAAAAAAGAATAAATGTTGCCTTGTTTTATGTGTTCTAAATACTTTTTTAAATGAAATGATGTTTTTTGAGTTTTAATGGTGTTATGTGGTTTGTGTATTAATGTTTTCTTGTCCATATCTCACCACCAAAGGCTTTTGGACCGTTCAGCATCGTGAGCTGAACGGCTTAGTCACCTTTCTCAAGCAGACGTGAAGATGGTTCTTTTCTTTGGATCTTGTTGCTAGCCCTCAACTGCTGAAAGCCTCAGAGTTTAAATTAACTGAGAAAAGGCCCACCTTTTTAGAGAATTATCCTTTGATGCTGCAGAATCTACTCTTACAAATGCCTTCCTACAGCTCACTTGGGTGCTTACCAAAGCCATAGCTTTAAACCTTCCCAGTCCCGTCAACAGCTTCCTGAAAGTTCCCTTCCTGTTTACTTCCACAAAGAGCAGCTTCTGGAAGACGTAATCATGCATGAATATGTGTTTGTCCACTTACCCTTCAGTTTTAATTGATGTCAGATCCCAAGAGTTGTGTTGAGGGTTGAGTGTACCTGCAACTACACTTGGATTGTATTGATCCAGAAATAATCTCCATAGTTACCGTAGTCTCTAGTTTATGAAGTAGCCATCACCGTGAACACGACACATACACATTATCTGTGCTGCTTTTTGTTATTATTGGGTATGTTCTGGTAAATTCATCCTCGTACAAAAAAAAAACTACTTTTTTTACCAAGTTTTCCAAAGACAGTATAGATCACAGAGATTAAGGGATTAAATATTCTTGCAATGGACTAGACAACTTCAAAAAAGCCCATTCCAGAAGAAAAACAGCTGGGAATTATGTTCATCCACTTGAAATTATTTTACAGTAATCAAAACATTCAAAACCTCAAGGCTCAGGATCCCGTAGATCAGAGCCTACCTTTTTGATAAACTCTTAGTAAAATCTTGGAGACTAGAAGCAAGATAGTTTGTGACACATGCTTCCCAAAATTAGAATAGATTTTTACTGAATAGTGGTATATCTGATGGTATATGTTTCTTAAAGGTCCATATGTAATAAAAAATGGAAAAGAAAAGTCTTTGTGTTTTTAATGCACTAAATATTTGTATGGGAAAGTTACAGTAACATTGTTACTGTAACAACCACGGGACTGGGTGGCACCTTACAACAATGCAAGTCCGCACGTTAGGGCTGTGTCTCCCCCGATTGTGTCTATAAACTAGCCATTAATTCATTTGCACAAGACACTTGAGACAGTCCTTAAGTTATAGTCATTTCTCAGATGGAAATTGGTCCTTGACACCAAAAAGTAAAGGACATCTGTTTCTACATTTACATATGAGCAACATGGAACAGTCTATGGCACTTAATTATCTTTGGGGTAGGGGGGGAGTGGCCAGATGTAAACCTGCTTACATGGAGATAACTTCTCTATTTGCAAGACTTAGTTTATAAGGAAATCCCAGCTGTTGCGCTCACACCACATTCTATGACTCTATCCTCCTGAGAACAAGAATGAAGGAAGCTTGCTGTAGGGTGTAAACAACCCTTGATAATGTTTTTCTAAATACACAGAATCTTCCTTCTGTTTCTTTGTGAATCAACTAATGTATAACATAAGTCTGTTTCTGGATGTTGGGCATTGTCACCTAAGAATTTCAGTCATTCCCAACAAATTGGAAAGCCTCATACATTCACTCAAAACTGGGCAGCAAAGTTGCTAAATAACATGGGTGGAATATGGCCAGAGCAGGATGTCTGCGTGTTTACTCTGGTGCTCAAGTCCCCAGGAGGGTGGAAGCGGTGCCTTCTGAGGTTGGAGATGGCCCTGGGATAACCAGTACATCTAGACCAAGCCTGCCCCTGAAAATGCCTGAAGAATAAATTAAATCAGTGGGGCTTGACAGCTTTTAACCGCAGGGAGAGAGATTGAATTAAATTCCCTCTCGTCACAGTGATGCATGTAGAAACCACCAGTGTTTGAGTTTCTTTGAGAATGTGGGAAATAGTCATCTGATTTTCCCCCATGTCCCATGGGCATTGGGCCTGTCACTTACGCCCTCTAAGCCTGTTTCCACTGTGAAAAGGTTAAAGGAGTACTTTCTTCGTCAGTCCCCTTACTGCTCCAAATAGCCATGGTTTTTAGTGCATTTATTTTTAGTATGAATGCATGAAGTGTGAAGTTAGCATTTTATTAAATTTTTAACAAATGGGAGAGGGAAATTCCCCCAAAGTCCCACAGTTTTCTTACAAGGGTTTCAATTTTTGTATCTTTCCCCATCTCAAGCATGTCTTTAAATGTTTCTCCATAAAAACTATGTATTCTGTAGAACAGTGTTTTGGGGGAGTGAGTTACTAGGAGGTATCTCTTTTTTTTTTTTTTTTGGTGGGCCCCTCGCTGGTGGCCACGCTGCAGAGGCTGCAGGCAGCCTTGCAAGCCAGCACTCAACCGCTATGCCATCAGGGGAGGCCCTAGGAGATATCTCATTTTAACACAACAATGTGAATGTCCTCTGGGAAAGAGTCACTATCTTTGAAAAGAGGATCTGAAATTCAAATCCCTCCAGATTTTCAGATCTGATGCTTCATATTTAGATACTAGTTTGGGCTTTGGGATGGTTGGTGCTGACAGTGGGAAACTCCTATCGCCTGCAGTTAAATTGAAGCTTTGGTTTCTTATGTGAACAGGCAATGAAGCTGTGATTATACTTTATTAAATCCTCATTTCAGAAATAGCTCCCCTCCACCCGCAAGCGCCAGCACATGCCGCCCTCCACCTGGTTTGAGCGAGCATGAGTTTTATCTTGTTGTTTTTCACCGCTGGGCAAACCTTGCTGGAAAGATGACAATTGACTTCTTAATGATTCGCACATTAGAGGGCTTAACGATGAAATGAAACATCCAGTGCGCAGTAACAAGCTGAGGAATTCAGAACCCTTGGAGAAGAAGCCATGCTGAATTATAATTTGGCTTACTGTGATAATGTTTCTTTGATCAGTATGCTAAGGAAAATTTGGATAGTAGAAAATGATGTCTAAAATGTATTAGTGATTATTAAATGGTTTATAAATGTATTAGAATTGGGCTGAACCCCATGGAAATACAAGTGTAGGCTTTTATGCGCAAAAAATGACTATTTCATCCAATTTGTTTAATAATTCTGCATTTTATAGCTCACGGAAAAGCCCTTCATAGCAACTCTCTGAAGTCTGAGATGAGGGAATTTTCGATTTACTAGACTGACCTATGGCCTTCTTTAATAATTATTGCATCTGGTTAAAAACAACAACAACAACAAAAAAAAAAAAAACCCTGTTTAAAAGGCAAATCCCAAGTATTTAATAGCCTGCTTTTAAAAACACATTGTGGTAAACATATCTAAGCCAGCTGGCCATGTTCACATTTCTCATCTAGCACCAAAGACTGATAAGGTCTGTGCATATCTAGTCAGGAATAAAAAAAGTGTTATGTGAGGAGGGGGAATTCCCAAGTGATTTCATTGTTTTTTTTACATAAAACAGAGAGAATTACTGTAGAAATAGTCCCCTGTGACAAGCCATTTGAAAGGCAGCCTCGGACTCCTTGACCTTTAAGAGTTGCAAGGCCCTTACATCAGCCACCCCCAGTACCCGGGCAGCGCTTATCTGCAAGCAAGCCCGTGCCCACTTCTAGGGTCTCCACACACAGATAAAATAAACACCTCTAGTCTTGGGGAGCCCATTCTTTTAGGACAGCTCATTCCTTCTTTTGTTAAATAAAAGTATTTCTTCTCACTGAGTTCAAATCTGTCATCTTTTTTCAAGCCCCTGGTCCTGCTTCCACCCCTTGAAGTCAAATAGAATCAATGGAATCCTCTTCCAAGGAAAGGCGAGTGCTCCTCACGATCCGACACACAAGCACACCTCCATGTCTCTTTCGATGAACTGGGGATAAGGACTAGCCTTTTTTTAAAAAAGATACTTTTATATTATTTCATTTTGGGGGTTACATTTTTACTCCTCCGTATGTGGGCATGTTCCGCTCACCTCCAACAGCACCCAGCCAATGCCAATACCCTATCGTCCTGCTCTCCACCCTTCCCCAGATCGCCAGCACATTTTTTCACTAAAAGACCATTCTTTTTCTACCTTTGAGGTGTAGACCACTAGAAAGCACTAATGTTTTCTCTAACAGGGTAAAATCAAAAACATAGTTCCTTTCAGATGTGCTGCACTTAATCAAGACGTAGCATCTCCAGACCTCAGAAACCACCTGTCTAGAATAGGAGGATTGTTCTCTGATGAGCTCACATCTTGTTCAATTCGAAAATTTTACAGACCCAAACTTTGTAAAATCAGTGTTGACTAACATTTTCATATATAGCAAAATGGGGAACAAGCAGATTTAACTCGCTAACACAGTGCTTCTCAAAGCTCAGTCATTTGCATGTCACCATCAGTTTTTACCACTTCTGGGTACCACCTGTACTATTATTACTTAACAGGTTTCTTTGAAGCGACTAAACATCTTTCGCTTGAATGATTTATTTTTAAAGGAAACTATCAGCATAACTGCAAAGCCATTGTCTTTTGTCATAAAAACACTTTTAAACGCACATATTTTAGTGTGTTTAAATACATGCTATTTTAAAGAACACCATGCAAAACCATCTCAAGCTCTTTGGCAAAGCCTGCACTAAAGGGATAGTACGTTTCCTGCTACCTGGAGCTTCGAGAACCTTATTGTCTTCAAAACTATTCCTGGGTCAACACCAAGGGCAAATTAGTAGAAGTTCACCCCATGATCATGAATCATAATAAAAGCCAAAACTGGTTGAACACTTATGATAGCTCCATGTGCTTTTCCTACTGTTGAGCCCCATTTTCTAATTCCTGAAGCTACTATATTGAGTAGAACACTTTACCAATCAAAATTCCTATTTGGAATCTCAGACCTGAACTGATCAGCTACTACAACTCATTTTTTCTCAAAGAAACAAAACAAAAACCTCAGGTACAAAATGACTTGGAGGTGGAAGGTTTGTCCTAGAGATTTCACCACAGTGGGTTGACAATCCAGAAGATTGGCAAAAGAATCTACTGAGAGGCC